CTTCATCTCATTCACTGCTCCACCCTCCCCATTCACCACCACCAGTCCTTCCCCACTGCACCTGGTTCACCACCCGACCATCCTACGAGGCCCCACCCCTCCCACCCTTTCCGAAGCCCCAGTTCCTCCCAGTCCCACCAGTTCCTTTCTGCCCAAGGCCCCAGAGTCTCTCCTAACTTGGCCCAACTCTTCTACAACCATTCGCAGTTCCCATCCCACGCCAGCTCAGCTCACTGGCCCCAGCCTGCCTGACCATCCAGACAGCCAACCTCAGGTCCCCTTCCCCCAGGAGCTGTCCTCCGGAGCTGGGCGCACTCCCACAGCCCCTCCCCACCCTGTCCTTGAGCCCCTCCTGCCCTGAGGACTCCCCCTGTGGTAAGCAACACATAGCCCTGCCTCCCTGGGCTTGGTGGGGATAGGTTGCAAACAAGTCACAGAAACACATAACCATGGTGCAAGGGTGCATGCTGTGGGGGGGGGGCGGTAGGAGGTGGGCAGGGTTGGGGGTTGTTAGTATCTTGCCCTGGGAGGAGATAGTTAAGCCAGCGTCTGTAGGACGACTGAGCCAGGCACACAGACTGGGAGTAAGCATTCTAGGCCGGTATGAGCCATGTGTTTGTGTGAGAAGCTGAGAGGTCTCCCAATAGCAAGGGCTGGAGGGCTGGAGGAGGAAGCTGGGATTTTTGCCCAGTGTGGGACAGGACTAGTAATGGCTGTCATGGGCTTCTGAAGATGGATAGGGCTCTGAGCAAGTCTTTCCTTTTTATTAATTTTATTTGTTTTGGGGTGGGGCTTGTCAGGGGTCAGTTTTCTCCTTCTACCACATAGGGTCCTGGGAATTGAACTTAGGTCATCAGGCTTGGCCACAGGTGCCTTTACCCACTGAGCCAGACTCTTGAGCAAGTCTTTCTTGAGGGGCTCTTAGTGACTATATTACACCCTCAAATCAGTGCACAAAACCTGTGGGCCAGCCTCACTCGTCCCATCACAGAATCAGCTGGCGTGGCCTGGGGGTGTATGTGTAGAGTGCTTACTTAGCATGCATGAAGCCCTGGGTTTCATCCCCAGTACAACATAAACAGGGTAGGGTGGCAAATGGCAAATGCCTGGAATCTAGGCACTCAGGAAAGGGTGGGAGTGGAGGAAGGAAGATCAGAAGTTCAAGGTCATCCTAGGCTACACAGCAGAGTTAGAGGCCAGCCTGGATTACAGGAGACCCTGTGTCAAAAAAAAAAAAAAAGTTGGGGATCTGGAGAGATAGCACAGGGGTTTAAGAGCACTTGCTGCTCTTGCTAAAGGACGAGGGTCAGTTCCCAGCCACATGGTAGCTAACAACTGTCCATAACTCCAGTTCCAGGGGATTTGATGCCCTCTTCTGACTTCCGTGGGCATTGCATGCACATGGTACACTTAAGTACATGCAGGCAAAACACTCATATACATACATACAATAAAAATAAATAAATAAAAAATTTATAGTAATAAAAAAGCCAGGTCTGGTGGCATACATCAGGTAGAGGTGGCATACATCAGGTAGAAGCAGGTAGATCTCTGTGAGTCTGAGCCCAACTAGGGCTACATAGTGAGACTCTGCCTCAAAAAAAAAAAAAAAAAATCCACCAGTTTGCAAAGTGACCTGTGTGTCAGCCACATTTGACACTACAGAAGGTCGCCAAGGAGAAGTGGAAAGCAGTTCCTGAGGATGCTTGCTGGGCTCAGCTTCATACCACTGCTTCATAGCTGTGAACAGTTACCACATAGGAGGATGAGAACATGGGAAAAAAACACAGCCAAGCACAAGGCTCAAAGTCTATTTGAACTGAGGAAGGGGTAGCAAGACAAGGAAGGGCAGGCCATGAGGACCCAGCTTGGAGTCTGCCTGGAGGGCGTATCCAGATGACCTCTTGAGGACTGGGTGAACTCTGGCATTAAGCAAGGGAAATGACTTGGGAAATACACACATTTGAGAAACAGGGGTGCTAAGCATGGGTGGCTGGTGGATTGGTGGCTCTGAGAAAAGCTTGGTCCCGAGTGGTGACAGCTGATGTCATGGGCCTGGCCAACACACACACACACACACACACACACGCACACACACGCACGCACGCACGCACTCATGCATACACACGTACATATATGCGCATTCGGTCTTTCTGAACAATCTCTCCTGGTGGGAGGCTCAGAAGACTCAGAAGTACACAAAACTCAAAAGGTTCAGGAACAAGAGACTCTGACAGGCTGAGCTGCCTGCAAGTTATTCTGGGAGATCCAGAGATACAGCTGTCATGAGGTATTACCTAGGCTGGGGTGGGCTTTTAAAAAAAAATATTTTATTATTTTTATTTCATGTGTATGAATGTATTGCCTACATGTATGTGAGTGCACCCATGTCATGCAATGCTGAGGAGGTCAGAAGAGAGCTTCGGATTCCCCTGGAACTGGAGTTAAGTAAAGAACAGTTCGTAGCTGCCATGTGGGTGCTGGGAATCAAACCTGGGTCCTCTGCAAGAGCAGTCAGTGCTCTTAACTGCTGAGCCATCTCTCCAGACCCTGGGGTGGGCTTTTTGGTGATACATCTGTCTTTGAATCACTCGTGATCCTGTAAATAACCCCAGTAGACTCACTGGTTCACTAAACCTAGTCTGGGTGAAGTAATTTCTTTGGTCTGCCATCAATATGCCCTATCTGGGCTGAACAGAGGTGAACAGATGGTTGTTCAAATGTCCCCAGTGGGAAAAAAAAAATCACACAGGCACACAGAATATACCTGCCTGCCAGTTCATTGGCAGCATAGCACCCCAATCCTACATGCCATTCAAACCCCAAATGAACACACTTTAGAACCACAGCACACATGCATGTGAACATATCCCTCCCACACAGAGGTCCATCCCTCCACATCCATGGTCACCATCCCCCACCATCCACAGTCATCATCCCCTGCCACCTATAGTCACCACCCCTCCCCATCCATCCTTATTATCTCCATCCCAGAAGATCTAGAGCTTGCAAGCCCTCCCTCCCAGCACACATGAAGGGGCTGCTAGTCCAAGGCCCCCTTGAGTGTCTTGATACTCACTTTCTCCAGTCATCACCCCCTGCGTGTACCTCTTGGGCAGTAATCCCGTGTACCCATAGAAGCTAGATTGCTGCACTTAAGAGAGAGAGAAGGGGAATTGGTCAGACACCATTTGTCACTGTTTGGTGCAGAGGCAACATGGCTATCTTGTACTATATTGTCAGGCCAGAGTGTGGTGGTAGTGAGGTCTGACACAGCCATACAGCAGCACAGGGGGGAAACTACTTCAAGGTCAATGGTAAATCCTGGCTGGTGGAATAGGAGCAGAAATGGCATAGGCCAGAGCTGGATGAGGCAGGGAAAACTGGCTCTCAGCCTTTCTTTCATTGGCAGAGACAAAAGAGGTATCAGCCTGAGTCCCTTTCCCCTGCCACCATTTCTGATGGGGTTGGACATGCAGCAAAGTGCAAGAGAGCTGGGTATGTTGGTGTAGACATGTCACCTCAGCACTTGGGAGGCAGAGGCAGGAGGATCAGGAGTTCAAGAGCATTCTAGGCTACTTGGTTAATTTGAGGCCAGCCTGGGCTACATGAGGCCCCATCTCAAAAAAAAAAAAAAAAAAAAAAAGAGCTGAACATGGTGGGACATACCTTTAATCCCAGCATCCCAGCACTGGAGAGGTAAAGGAGGCAGAGGCAGGTGGATCTCTGTGAGTGGGAGATCAGCCTGGTCTACATAGTGAGTTCCAGGCCAGACAGGGCTACATGGAGACCCTGACTCAAAAAAAGGGGGTGGGGGCTGGAGAGCTGGCTCAGCAGTTAAGAGCACCCTGGTCTACATAGTGAGTTCCAGGCCAGACAGGGCTACATGGAGACCCTAACTCAAAAAAAGGGGGTGGGGGCTGGAGAGCTGGCTCAGCAGTTAAGAGCACTGGCTGCTCTTGCAGAGGACCCAGGTTTGGTTTCCAGCACTCATGTGGTAGCTAACAACCATCTGTAACTCCGGTTCTAGGGGATCCAACTCCCTCTGGTTGGATGGTTCTGGTTCTTGAAAGTCAGTTTCTATCAAAGAACCAGGGGCTGCCGTCTAAGCCTGTCCCACATGAGGGTGGTCCTGGTACATGTAAGGGTGAGGGTCTGCAGTATGTATGTGATTTGTGTGCACGTGTGTAGGTATACATATGAAGGGTATGTGTATGTGTGAGATGTATGCATGGATGTGGTACATATGTGTGAGATGTCTGCATGTGGGGGGATGTCCATGTGTATGGGATGTGGGTATGTGTATGTGGTGTGCATGTGTCAGATGTGTACATGTGTGTGGGAGGGTGCATTCTGGGTTAGCTCACCTTGCCAGTATGCTACTTGCACAACAGGGCCACAGAGCACTTATGCCAGCCCTCCTGGGGTGTCCGGGCCCCACTGCCTACCTGTGCAACCGAAGGCTACGGTACCCACAGCAGCCAAATTGATGGCATAGGCCTGGTCGTGAGAGAAGAGCTGCAGCCAGACATCACAGATACTGATAAACAGCAGGGGACCCAAGGCAAGGAGGTAGCCTACAAAGAGCAGTGAAGTCAGGAGGAGCGGTGAGGGAGCCAGGTCTTGAGAGCTGTTGCCACCTGCCCCCCAATACTGGGCAGGCAGAAGACTCTAGGGGAGTGTACAAGGAAATCCTGGGGACTTCCTGGAGGAGATACCATCAGAGTTGAGCCTTGCAATTGTATACCACAGGAAAAGGATGGACCAAGAAGAGAGTTGACACAGGCTCCTCTAGATGTAACTTGGGGACCACAAGAGCGTGTGGGGACACCGTATTGTACTAGCATGTAGCATGACCCTGCTCCCCAATCCCGCAGTCCATGGAATTCCTTGAAAATGCACCCTTATCACAGGCAAGACTGGGAAACGGTAGGCCAAGAGCTCACAGGAAGAGCTGGGAGCCTGAGGCTGGGAGCAACACGAGGACGGCCTTGCCTACCCGTGGTGATCCTGGTGTGCAGGTTCAACCTCTCCACCACCGCATTGTTGAGGAGAACGGCCGCCAGTGCCACCAAGATGTAAGTGAGGCTCATGTCGAACACGATAGACGTCCCTGGGTGTTGGAGGGACAGCAAGGCTGAGAGGGACTTCCAAGCTCTACACCCACCCCCTGGCTCTCTCTTCACTCTCCCCAAGGGGCTGACTGCCGGAGACAGGGAGTGGCTGCTGTGAGGTCACTCAGCAATTCCCAGTGAAGCAGAGATTTTTGTACTGAGGGTCATCCCTCAGTTTCCCAAGTTAGTCCCTGGCCAACTCAGCTACACACACACACACACACACACACACACACACACACACACACAGCTACACACCTTAACTCCATGTCACAGTTTAAATGAGCCATGTTCCCCTGGGCTCATGTGTTGGAACACCTGGTCCCTAGTGGGTGGAGCTGTTTGGGAAGGTTGAAGAACCTTCAGGAGATGAAGCCTCCCAGGAGGAAATACATTACTGGGGGTGAATCTTGAGTTTTGATAGCCCGGCCCCACTTCCTGTTCATTCTTTGCTTCCTGAGTGCAGATGCAATGTGAACACCTAGCTACTCACTCTCTCCTCATGCCTTTCTTGCCTGCTGTGAGCCAGAATAAACCTTTCCTCCCTTAAGCTGCGTTTGTCAGGTATTTTATCATAGCAATAAGAAAGTCACTAATATATCCTTCATAGTAAAATACCAAGGTTATTCCTCTACTGTGCCCCTCAAACCACAGCAGCCCATTCCTGGGAGGACAATACCATGTTCCCAAGCAGGGTCCTGCCCCCCAAAGTTCTCAGAAGAGCCCAGCCCAGGGTAAGGGTGCTAGGCCACTGGTGAGGGCTGAGTGGGTGTCAGGGAGACCCACCTGGGTACTTGTGGTGAAGATAGTCCACATCAGTGATAAAGCTGTTGTATGGAAGCAGGAAGCCCACGCCTGCCAATAGCATGGCAAAATAGATGGCGTGGTAGCGGTCGTCCGGCACTGGCTCCTCCACCGCTAAATGGGAGACACCAGGACACAGGGTGAGCCCACTCAGACTGAGGTCACCCACTAAGGCTGCTTGCTGTTCACCACCACCACGGCTACCATACATCACCAAGGCCCCAATCATCCACATCACTATCAATATGGCCACCACAGAGAGCCATCATACATCACAGCCTCTGTGGTAGTTAATCTTTTTTAAAAAATATTTTGTTATTTTTATTTTATGTGTATGAATGTATTGCATGTGAGTGCATCCATGTCATGCAATGCCTCATGGGTCAGAAGAGGGCTTCAGATTCCCCTGAAACTGCAGTTAAGGATGGTTCATAGCCACCATGTAGGTGCTGGGAATCGAACCTGGGTCCTCTGCAAGTGCAGTCAGTGCTCTTAACCGCTGAGCCATCTCCCAGCCCCTATGGTAGTTAATCTTAAATTAAAAATAATTTTTTTTGTCTTTTTGAAGCAGGGTCTCCTTGTAGCCCTAGCTGTCCCAAAATTCACTGTGTAGACCAGGCTGGCCTTGAACTCACAGAGATGCTCCTGCTTCTGCCTCCCAAGTGCTGGGACTACAGGTGTGCGCCACCATGTCTGGCTTTAAATTTAAAAATTTTAAAACTATTTCGAGGCCAGTCTGTTCTTATTTGGTGAGTTCCAGGCTAGCCAGGGTTACAAAGTCAGACCCTGTCTCAAAAAAAATTTTTTTGGTGTGTGCGTCTGTGTGTGTGTATGTGTACATGAGTGCAGATACCCAAAGAAGCCAGAAGAATGGGTCAGAGCCCCTGGAACTAGAGTTAGAGGTGATTGTGAACCATCAAATATGGGTGCTGAGAACCAAACTAGGGTACTCTCAAAGAGCAGTACACACTCTTAACGGATGAGCCAGCTTCCCAAACCCTTAATTTTCTTTATTTAACCTTTCCATTTTTAAAATTTGGGGCTGGAGAGATGGCTCAGTGGTTAAGAGCTCTGGCTGCTCTTGCAGCAGACCTGGGTTCAGTTCCCAGCATCCCTATGGTGGCTCACAATGTCTGTAACTCCAGTTCCAGGGAATCTGATGTCTGTAATTCCAGTTCCAGGGAATCTGATGCCTTCTCCTGGCCTCTGTGGGCACTGAAGGACATGGGTATACTTACATGCACACAACATACTCATACACATAAAGTATAAATAAATAAACAAACAAATAAATAGGCTGGAGAGATGGCTCAGTAGTCAAGAGCATTTGCTGCTTAATCATGAGGACTCTAAGGGCACCCACACAGACACATGTACATACATGTGAATAAAATTAAATATTTTTTTAATTTTTAATTTTTAAAAAAAGAGTATTTTGTCTGCATGTATGTAAGTGCACCATGTGTATGCTTGGTGCCTGTGGAGGTCAGAAGAGGGCATTAGATCCCCTGGAGCTGAAGTTATGGTCAGTTGTTAGCTACCATGTGGGTGCTGGGAACTGAACCCAGGTCCTCTGCAAGAGCAGCCAGTGCTCTTAACCGCTGAGCC